GCCGGAACGGATGTCACGTGCTCCTGGTGTCTCCGATTACCTGGGAAGATGGGGAGGTCTCCAGCCAGTCAGATCCCAGCTTCCTTTTGACCTTTCTGCCAGAACGACTGTCATGTGCTCCTGGTGTCTCCGATTACCTGGGATGATGGGGAGGTACCAGACAGTAATAAATTGAGCATTCTTGTGAAAGTTATGATCTCAAGATATATATCGTGAAACTTTGTGTCTAAATGGGGTTTATTTGAGTCTTAGTTGAATCAGGTCCTAGTTGTTTCTAAAATTTATTTAGAAAAGATAACAAACCATTTACCTTTTTACCACTTTTAAGTGTGTAATTCCGTGTCCTTAATTCTGTGTACCATGTTTTGTAACCATCACGTCTCCATTTTGGAATGATTTTCATCACCCTAAGAACCACCTTCTTTAGCAATAACTCCTCATAATATCCATGCGTTTGCATCTTGTAGATATTTTGTATAAGTGTCATCATACAAAATTTGTCCTTTAAGAGCTGACTTATTTTACTGAGTATTCAATTATTGTTGGACATTTGAGGTTGTTTCTACTTTTTGGGAATTGTAAACAGTACGGCTGTGAATATTAGTTCCATAGTTGGAGTTTTTCCTCCCACTTCATACATCTTTATTTGTTTATTTGAATCAAGCTTTAAAAACCATTGATTTTTTTCCCCTACAATCAGAAACTTAATCCTTATTTTTGTTTGAAAAGCATTTTCTCTCAATCTCTGATGAGTGAGACAGAATGTAATTAATTTGAAAATAAGGAACTATTTTAACTTGCGCATTTTCATAGGATAGAATTAGTTACAATTTTTAGAGTGCTCTTTATAGTAGTGTTCAATTTTTATACCTTTTCAATTTGCATTTTTATTTTCAACCGTAAATGGAATTATCTTTTGATTATTTCATTAGCCAATGCTAGTTGAAACATATTCCTAATGCTAAGTCACTGGGAAATAAACTGTCCTCCTTTTTATTTTTTCCCTTTAAGCATTTGTAGGTGCTTGTATTGTGCAAGTTGAAATCCAGAAATACAATATTAGAATCTTATGTTTAACAAATTGAAGACCTTAGATAAAATTTTAACTGTTTTATTGTAACTTCCATACCCCCTCCCTGTTGAGAATCGCTGATGAAAAGGTTGGTTGAGTTTCTTAAGCAACTTCAAGATGCTTGAGGTTACTGTCACTTATTTATCTTGTGTATTCGTTACTAAACGTAACTGTCTATAATTTTTTTTTAAGTAAGTGATAATTGATTGTATGCTTTAGAGACTTTCAAATGTCTTGCAGTGGTTTAATTTGTATAGAGAATCATAGAAGCACTCTTAGGTTTGATTAATTGGAGG